CATATTTTGTAATTTTTTTAAGTTTAAGTTACAATTATAATAACACAAAATTTAAGAAAAAAATACTATTGTCATAAAAATTTTCTCTCTTTTATGTAATACTTTTATATAAGTAATAATGTGAATAGAATTGTTCAAAATCATGTGTTAGAATAATAATTATATAATTTTATACATTTAAAATTTTAAATATAATCAAGATATACATATATTTATATATTTCCGGATCGGATCGGATATCCGTTTCCCAAAATTTTAATATTTGTTATTTGCTTCGATTTTAACGGATATTGAATTTTAGTATTTGCTTTGCTTCGAAAGTTTACGGATATCCGGAATTTTCGGATCGAATCGAAACGAATAACGAATCGAATCAAATATAACGAATAAAATGCCCAGCTCTAACCGTATATGATAAAACAAGACAACTATCTGTTTATTTGGCTATGATTAATCGAAAAAAAATTATTATTTTAAACTATACTAAAGAAGCAATAGAATAGTTTTAGCTAATCTTCTTATTCCAACACTAGCAAAGCTTTGAGAAGAAATTATTTGTGACCAATAACAACTACTCCCTCCGTTTCTTTTTATAAGATGTTTTAGAAGGTTTATGTTGTTTCAAAATATTAAAAGTTTTGAAATTTAAGGTATGTTTTGAAGTTTTAAGGTTAACTTTTAACTTTATTGGAAACTGTTCAACCAATAAAAAATTTCAATTTTTTTTATAGTTGGTTGAATGATTTTAAAAGTATATCATTAAAAGTACTTTAAAAAAAAAGTAAATATTTTAATCTCCGTGCATTCAACCAAAACAACTTATAAAAAGAAACGGATGAAGTACTAGTTACGTTCTGTTTACGTGTATCACCACCTACATATGATTCCATTTTGTGCTTAAAATAAGCATCGATTTATTAGGTCTAGCCCAATATATGTAACCTGAAATCATTGTGGGCTATATGCATTGTGTGGAATCGCTAAGCTATTAATAGGTTTTGCTTTCGTCCATGGGCCAGTAGCCTGTTATTATTTTGTTACTATTTATAAATTAAGTTGCAAAAAATATATTTATGCTTGAAATTTTTTAACAAATTAGGTTTTTTTTTCTTTTCTTTCAGTTTGCTCAGTCTTATGAGGCTCCTGGAGGTCTGAAAAGGCTCTCTTCTCTTTTTGATGAAGATAACCCTCTTTAAGCATATATCCTTAATCCTTATTAGATATGTGTTTGGAAGTTATTTTGGTTAAAGGTCTTTGTTAATCCGGTCGTTTCGGTAATGGTCTAAATGTAGTAACTATTTTTCAAATATGTAAACTTAAGCTCCATATAATATATCATTTTCCAAAGACTTTAATGGGTAAGTGAAATTGATAAAGAAAACATTATTAGTAATTGAAAATTTCAACTAGTAGTACTAACTAAACACAAAAAAATGAAGCAGGCATACCAATAAAGCCATATATTCAATCATTAGGAGAGAAAATAAAAATAAAAATAAAAATAAAAACAGCTCTCAGACTTTTTCTTCCAATCCTATCTCTCTCTCTCTTTCTCATTTTGTAAAAGAGACTTTGCCGAGCTTCACGAACCGCCATCTCCTAATCAAACTAATAAAATCTTTCTCTCGCGAATTGCTTGCCGTTTTGCAGCAATCGGATAATCTTATTCAGTTTTTCGATCGGAGGTATTTTTCTTCTTCTTCAGTTTAGGATTAGAATTTGATATTTAATCGAGCGTTGATTGATGGTTAAATATAATCGTTTGAATGTGCAGTTACGTTGACCGATTCAGGTATCGTGTGTGAAGAGGATCACTTGCTGCTTCTATAAGCCCTGGAGAGTCGCAGCTCCGTCTTAGGGTTGAGCAGTTGTTTCTGCAGCGTCGTGTCTGTGGTGGTGTTGTATCTCCGCCGCTCGTTAATCAGGGAGATGGAGATCGACGACTCGTCTCCTCTTCTTCCCAGCTCAAATGATTCCCTCCTCGAGGTAGTGTTCTGATTCGGTTAGTTTCCTTTAATAGTAGCAGTGATTGTGTGTAGTGATGTAGGACTAGTCACAGGTTGCAGTTCAAGTCGCTGGAAAAAAAAAACTTAAAGGCTGTAGTTGCTTTGTTTTGTTTGTAGTTTGATTGTTTCTTTTTATGTTAATCTTGTAGAGGCTTGCCTTTCTTGGGGTTCCTAAAGAACGCTGCTCCAAACATGGCCTTGTGGAATTCGTTAGAGCTAACCCGTCCAGGATCTCAGAGATAGTCTCTGCACTCTTACCTACAGATGAAGAAGTTAAATCTGGATTGAAGGAAGCTAAAGAACGGTCTTCTCGAAAGTCTGCAGTGACTCCCACCATGAAAAAGAGGTTTAGAGACGCCATGAATTGGCTTCAGTGGCTCATGTTCCAGGACGACCCTGCTGTTTCCTTGAGTAATCTCGCTGAGTTGAATCTTGATCAACGAGGTGTTTGCGGCTCCGTCTGGGGACATAATGATATAGCGTATAAGTGTAGGACGTGCGAGAATGATCCAACTTGTGCGATCTGTGTGCCGTGTTTCGAGAATGGGGACCACAAACTCCATGATTATTCTATTATCTACACTGGCGGTGGTTGCTGTGATTGCGGGGATGAGACCGCGTGGAAAAGGGAAGGTTTCTGTTCTAAACATAAAGGTGCTGAGCAGATTCAGCCCCTCCCTGAAGAACTAGCCCTTTCGGTTGGCCCTGTGCTTGATGCTCTTTTCGCTTCTTGGCATAACAAGCTCTCATCTGCACAAAGTGTTGTTCAGAAAGATGCTAGATCCAACGATGCTCTTTTAGTACTCCAAAAGATGTCAAACGAGTTGACATATGTCGTGGTTCAGATGCTTCTTGAATTTAGTAAGTCCACTGAGAGTTTGCTAAGTTTCGTTTCTAGAAGGATTATATCTTCCAGTGGTCTACTGGATTTTCTTGTCAAGGCTGAGAGGTTCTTGGATCAAGATGTAACGAAGAAGCTACATGACTTGTTCCTCAAATTGATAGCCGATCCAGTCTTTAAGTCGGAATTTGCAAAGGCATTTGCCAGTTACTATCCTGTTGTGATAAGTGAAGCGGTTAAGCAGGGTAGTGATAATAATACATTCAAGAAATATCCGCTGCTGCCTACATTTTCTGTGCAAATCCTGACCGTGCCAACTCTAACACCATTTCTGGTGAAGGAAATGGATTTTCTAGCCATGCTTTTGGGATGCCTCAGTGATATCTTTGTTTCTTGTTCTGGAGAGGATGGTGTGCTACAGGTAAACACATAGCTTTTGTTTTGTATACGGACACTTTCAATTCACTATTGTGTTATGTTACTTTTACGGTGATGAGATTTATTTTGGGGTTGATTGTGTTGGTAATGAGATGTATGTGATGGTTTTCTTTTGTAGGCTACAAAGTGGGAACGGTTGTCTGAGATAAGTGACCGTGTCATTGCAGACTTGAAATTTGTGACGAGCCATGCTGTAGTTTCCAAGTATGCAACACATGAACATCGGGAGTTATCAAGATCATGGTTGATACTCTTGACCTGTGCTCAAGGAATGAATCCTGTAAAAAGAGAGACTGGAATCCATATTGAAGACGAAAATGAGTATATGCATTTATTCTTTGTTTTGGGTCATTCACTAGCTGTTATTCACTCTCTGTTGGTTACTGGCACATATTCTGCTTCCAGTGATGATGACATAGAAAATGAGAGAACCACCAAGGCAGAGCTTGACAAGTGTGATGGAGATAGAGAAAGGTATGCAAAAGTTGGGAGATTGTCTCATGAAGATTCGGTTTGTACTGCAATGGTAAGCAGCAGCTCCTTTGATAGCTCGATAGCCTCTGAAGTCAACAAAATTGACCCTTTCCGTGCGCGGCTTCCTTCTTCTGCCATATGGTTGATACGCGAGTGTTTGAAAGTTTTGGAGACATGCTTAGAAAATGATGAAGGTGTATCAAAATTTCTTTGCAAGTTGTTTTCTCCTAGCGGCAGAGACATCCCTGGCAGCATGATGTCATGGCCAAAGAGAGTTTTTTCAAAGGTTGAAATGGGAAAAAGTGTATCCAGTGGTCTTGCAAGTTCTAGCAGAGATCCGAGTACTGGCTTATCACCTCTTTGTGGCAATATACAAACAAACCTGAGCTTGGATAATGTTGATGGATCGAATGGGGAGGTTCAGACAGATGCTATGG